CCCTATGCATGGACCACTACATATTTCATGGCTGGTTTTAATCTCTAATGTTACTTTACTTTTCATTATACTTTACATTTTTCTATTTCATATTTTTTCCTAAAAATCTACAATATACCCTCCAATTATTTATTTTTACCTTGTCAAATTTGAAAAAGTAAGATGCTCATGGGAGTCTAGAAAAATATTCCACTCAGACCATTGTGATTTTTTTTAATATCCAAATACCAATTATCTCCATGCAAACTTTGCAGAAGGACCAGAACAAAACCATCTCTATGCATCTGTAATTAAGAGTCCTGATAACGAAATTCACTCAGTTATCAGTAAGCCAATTGCCAAGCATGACTCAGAAAGCAGAACTGGTTCCATACATGCTTAAAGCTTTCTCAGTATTCCATATTATCATCCACCCCACCACACACACTCATATAAACTGTAATAGCTCCACTGACTTAACTATGAGGATATTCCCTCAGGTGACCTAAACTATCATTACTCCTCAATTGCTGTAAATGGTCTTGGAGCTTTGACAACAGACCCCAGTGGAGAAGCTGCCACAACAGTTTGTTTTGATGAGGGGGTTTCAGTCTTGGCCTTTGACATCACAACTCTTAGACTCGCAATTCAGTGCAAGTATTTTGAGGGCCTGCTCCTGCCCCCATTGAAGTCAATGGGAAGTTTTGCAGGACAGGGCCCTAGAGACTTTTGAAAGTCCTGGGTGTATCTGAGACCAGCCCCAAGGATCTCCTGTATGGGTATTTGTACTTGTTTGCCACCCATAGTTTAAAACAACTCACTACAAGGGCTTCCCTCTGCAGGTAATTGCACCTTTAGGTCAGGGCCTCAAGTATAGAACCACAAATAATCTGAGCCTCCTAATTTTGGAATGTGTTCTCCATTTGACTAGTGTTACAGGGATGGGCAATAATTTTGACTGGGGGGGGGGGCATTCCATGAATTTTGGTAAATCATCAAGGGCCAGTTCTGGGCTCCTGGAAAAGACAGAGTCTCAAGTGAAAGGAGCAGGGCTGGAGGCTAGAGAAAGAGAGAAAATTTGTGTGTATATATGAGAGAGAGACACTCTGTGTGTGAGGGACAGAGACTTTGTAACTCAGATTGTGTGTGTGTGTGAGGCACACAGATTGTAACGGTGTGTGTGTGTCTGTGTGACAGTGATTGTGTGTGTGTGTGGCTCAAAGACAGGGTATGGCCAGAGGTGAAGCTAAGCCAGTGTGCACAGCTTCGGCAAGAGCTGGTGCAGGGCTGAATTACCCAATAGGCAGACTTAGCACGTGCTTAGGCACCAGCAAAGCAGGGGCACCAAAAAAAAAATTTAAAAAAATTTGAT